ATTTATACGAGTGATGCTTTAACTATCTCTACCATATAAGATTCCAAATATAGAAATATTTCTTTTTCTTGTCCGTTTGTTTTGAGTCACTTTGCTTTTAGTTTCACACAAATATTGAATTACATATAGTCAAGCGATAGTCTTGTGGATTAATTTATGGAAGTTGACTGGTATTTCGTATTTGTTTCAAGAATCTTTTGTGTTTTCACTTTGTTTTTAGTTTCTCACAAGCATTGAATTGCATATAGTGATAAGCTTTGTACATTAATTTACCGTTACGGTAGTTGACTGGTGTGGAATTTTGTACTTGTTTTGAAAATCTTTGTGGTTCTGTTTTTTTTTGATAATGGTTGGGTTTTAGGGCTGGAATTTTTTTTTAAATTGTACGAGTGTGACTTAAATGCACCTTGAATATACTTTACCGAATTTATTTAAAACTTTCTTCGTAAAAACCTGACAATATATGATGTGAGAATAGGATTGAAATTTTTAGGATTTTAGGGTAATTTCTTAGAATTTTAGGGTTAGGTTGCAGGTTATATCTACCCTAAAAATTTAATCCAATTAAATTTTTGTTTCCACAACATGCTGGCCACTGATGCACAAATTTTGTTGGAAAATAAAATTGTCACTTTAAAATATACAAATTCACGAATAGGCTATATTTATTAGTAAATTTAAAGGCATATTTGGGTAATTTTTAAATTAATATTTAGGCCCATAGCTTTGCTAAGAAGCATTTGGAGTCGAATATAATAAGGTAATCACTTGATAATAGTTTTAAATAGTGTTTCTATAGATGAAATAGGTAGAGTTTGATGACATGAATATTCTTAGAATTTTATCCGCTTTTAAATATTTATATATGAAAACTTGAAAATTTTTAAAAATTTAAATATCCATTAAAGTAGTCTCGTTTGAGGGTTCAAATAGTTATTACAATTAGTAACTTTGAGTATAGCATTTTGTTCATTTTGTTTTATTATAATTGTATACTTTATTATTCCATTTTATCTTTGTAATCTTGAATGAATAAAAAACAACTTCAATAATAATATAATACGTATAATCATTAATACCAAAATTTTAACATTATTACGCTCACATAACATACCTGATACAATAATCTATGTAGTTGCGACTGAAGCTAATTTGAATAAATTGCCCTAGGGATTGGAAATAAATTCATTTTTTCATATGTAAAATTGATTAAAACCAGTTTTAACCATACTCTTCATTGATTACCCTTTTATTGAAATCAAATATGTAAGTTACCGTCTTTTGTATCTTTTTTATTTATGGTTTATATCGACGTCTAACTTTTACATTTCAATATTATTTGATAACTTTATTTAATTTTAATTAAGCATTTACACATTGCTGCATTGTTGTCAAATGTTCTACTTTTAGTTTGGTTATAGATTACGTAATGTTAAAGAGATTTAACGCAAAATGAGACAACAAATACCGAAAGAAATTAAAATGAATACAGTAAATAAGAAATGCTTAAAACCAAAATTTCTATTCTCGAGAATAAGACATGAAATTTATTTATTTATATAGAGCTTATATGAATTATTATTATTATTATTATTACATCTAAGATTTACCAGCATAGAATATTTGAAGATTTGAATATAATATTTGAATAGAATGTTTGAATAGAATGTCCGAATAGAATGTTTGAATAGAATATTTGAACAGAATGTTTGATATTAATATTAATTGTGTTTATCAAGATAACATTATATACTAATGCTTTTGAGACGACGCAGAAGAAGATATAATAATAATGATGACGATAACTATGCAAATACCAGAAACCACAAATTTTGTACGTTTATTACTACCACCACTTTTGTAAACAGCTTGACCATAAACAACAGGAGCTGGAGGAGGAGGAGGAGGAGCAGCAGGAGCAGTGTTTATAGTAATATTATTGACAGGAGCAGGAGCAGCGGGTGGGACCGTAAAGTTAATATTATTGACAGGAGCGGCAGTAACTTGAACGTTGACAGGAGCGTTAGTCTGAGAGGTATCATGAGTATTAGTCTGAGGATTAGCCTGAGGGACGACCTGAGGGA